TCTCCTACCATTCTTCTTTTTCAACCGTTATCCTTAGGAATGTTTGCTATTAAAATCAGTTCAGTTCTTATGATCTACTGTCGTAAAAATAATTTTTAATAGCACGAATAAAAATTTTTACTGATAATCGTGACCTTGATCAGCACAAACCAAATTTCACTGAATCAAAAATTTTTTTGTTTACAAAATAAGAAAAATCGGTAAAATTAAATGACCAAATTTAGGAGGTGACATAATGCGTCATAATCGATTAGATTTGAAGCATTATAATAAAGGAATAAATGTAACATGAAAAGAAAAAATAAAATGATAAAAAAGACCGAATGATTCAGTTGATTTGAAAAAATTACAATTCCCATTTTTTACCATTATTCTATTAAACAATGAACACATTGAATTAACTAAACATAATTTGCTTGAGAAGTTTTAATAAATAAAAACAATAAAGTATAACTACATTCATGCTTAAATTAAATTCCATTGTATTTATCGTTAAAAAAAATAAAAAAATAAAAAAAAAGTAAATAAAATAAAAATTTCGAAAATGTTTAATTTTCAAATCCCCTAAATTTTTTCGAGGTATGGCGTAACTTTAAATAGTAGATGTATATCTACAAAACATTATCACCATCTCTGGAGTTTTTTCAGGTAGATCCTTGAGGACAAAGGATTTTTCAAGCCCTATTTTGAACATAATCGAACAATCAGAAGACAAACAATGAAACAGAATGGTACTAAACAGTAAAAAATTTGCCACAACGGTCACGAGAAATTAAATGTCAAAAAAAAAAAATATATTTCGAAATTATGCATTCTCGATTGTCTTTTTAAATTGGGAATCTCCTATCGGATATAAATATAGCTCAAAAATTTTTCACTTTTTCCTACGTAAAAAATTGTCTTTTTTTTTCAAAATGTCTTTAACATCAGATTGTTTGCACCTTATCTTTAAAAATTTCGATGAAGACCAATATACTTTACATTCGTGCCTTTTAGTTAATAGACTTTGGAGTGATACAGCAGTATCCTTATTGTGGAGTCAACCATTTCGTCTAACACGCAGAACACCTTCCTCAAAGTTAATTCAAACATATATAAATTGCCTTGATTCACAAACTCTTAACGATGATGAAAAAGAGATTTTGGAGATTACTGATAAAAGAATACCGACAACATTTAATTATCCATTATTTTTGCGACAACTTTCATACTTGGATTTGTATATTGGAGTTTCTGCATGGTTGGAGTGGTATGAACCACAGGAAGAAAGTTATCGAGAACGAATCGCTTTTATAACCAAAATCTTAATTAACTCCTTTATGAGTTGTTCCCGTGCATTTCATAAGTTATCAATTGAAACGGGTGAAATGCTTATGGTTCCAAATCATCATCTCAATGTTTTCTCACACTTTGGTTCTGAAATTTGTTTATCTAAACTTCGACAATTCATATGCATCGGAGATTTTGTGAAGACAGATATCTTTGCGGGAGCTGCCAGAGTTTGTAAAAATATCAAGACAATGTTCGTTAGTCCAGGTCGAGTTAGCGCTTTGGGAGAAAGACATGTTCCGGAGAGACAATATGATTCCCTGATAAATCTCATTAAAGAGCAGAAAGCAATTGAACATTTTGTCGCCCATACTTGCAGTAGACCAAGACGTATCGTTGCTGCATTATTAGAAAGTCAAATTAATTCTCTGGTTCACGTGGAATTCGTCATGGTAAATTTTACGGAATGCATCACATTAGAACCTTTGGCAGAATCGAAGAAGTTGCAAACGTTAACGTTTGAGGAATGCTTAGGTCTTGAGAAGGTTTTGGAACCGTTCGTTAATAGTACATTAACTCATTTAAGAAAACTCAACTTTAAAAAATCTACCGTTAGTGACGACGTTTTAGCAACTTTAATAAAAAATGCGGGAACAACATTATCTACGATATATTTAGGACCTATAGAAATTAAAGATCCATGTAACGCTCATATAGTAATCGATTTGGTTGCTAGAAATTGTCCGAACCTTAGAGATTTCGCTGCAGATATTCAAAGAGTTGACTTACCATATTTATTAACATTGTTGAGTAATAGTAGGAATCTGGAAAAGTTGGAAATCTTTGGAAGCGTCCTTCACGTTGATAGTTTATTAGGAAATTTTTTTCATCTTTTCCCGTCTACCTTAGAACATTTGATAATTAATGCAGATTGGCAATTTTCTTCACATGAACTTGGAATTGGATTAAAGAATTGTAAAGCTAAGCTGAAAAGTTTACACATTCCAGATTGTTTTTCAGTAAGTGATAGTCATCTTCGTGTTATCACCAAATATTTAGGTGATAGTTTGCAACACTTGGACGTTAGTTATGCGTCACCATCACAAGTAACTGATGAAGGATTGAGAAAAGCACGTTCAATTATCAATAGAGTTGATTACGTTTATAAGGAAGACAGGAAATATCCTACATATTGGAATTTAAGATATTGGGGCGAAGAATGGGTTGAGGAACCAATTATGGATCGTACTATCGAACAATGGGATTGGGAGAATGGTGAAGAAGGATGGTTTGGCGCAGGTTGGAGAAAATAAATGATTTGTAATTTATTTTGTAATATATGGACTTTTTTTCCCCCAAAATTTAAATTAATATTGTAAGTTGTAATTATTTATTAAAAAGTATTATTATATATATATTAGAATATTTAGGTAATAATGTAACAAAAAAAAAAAATTTTTTACATGTAAAATGAAAATACGCGTTATGACATTAGCTTAATTAAAATACATGTATTTTATTAATAAAAGAATCGAACAAATGTTCTTATTTTATTAAAAAAGACTACCCCAAAAATGCCCCATTTTTTTTTTCATTTTTTAATTACCTTCATTTAATTCTTTATTTTTCATATAATGATTACTATTGTTAGCAAATGAATGGAATCTGCCATAAAAGAAATAGATTACTAAACCAATTGCCATCCAAATAAATAACCTTTCCAAACTAGCATATGTAGCAGTACACAGCAATAATAAATCTAATAAAGCTCCAACGATAGGAATTACATAAGGTCCCCCCGGGACCTTAAAAGTCCTTGGTGCGTTAGGAGCCGTAATTCTTAATACCATCACACCGATATTCACTAAAAAGAATGCCAACAAAGTGCCAACTGATGTTAATTCTGCCAACATGCTTATTGGAAGCAAGGATGCTATCGTTGAACAAATTAATCCGGTAATGATAGTTGAAATGTATGGCGAGTTAAACTTCGGATGAATGGTTGCAATTGCTGGAAAGAATAATCCATCCCTAGTATAAAAAAATGAGTTATATGTACATTGGTTGTTGAATGTTACGAATTCAGAACTTACTTTGCCATTGAATAAAAAATACGTGGTTGTCCCATGAGAAGGACGAGAACACCAGATATCAATCCGACGAGAGCACCAATATCAACAATCGTGCCCAGCCATTTTATTCCCATTGCGTTTATCGCTACTGCAATTGGTGCTGGACTATCCAACTCTGTATATGGAACAACTCCTGTTAACGTAACACAAACCGCCACATACAAGATCGTACAAATAACTAAACTACTTATAATTCCGATTGGCAAATTCCTTTGAGGATTTTTAGCTTCCTGAGCAGTAGTAGATATAGAATCGAATCCAATATATGCAAAAAATACAACGCTTGACGCCGATAAAATTCCAGTTACACCAAACTTTGAAAAGGATCCTTCATTTGGAGGAATAAAAGGGTCATAGTTCTTTGGGTCAATTTTTGTTGAAGCTACTATCACAAATAAAATGATCACAAAAGTTTTGATCCCCACGATTATGTTGTTGACAGTTGCGGACTCTTTGATTCCCAAAATTAATATAATCGTAATAGACATAATTAATAAAAACGCTGGTAAATTGATATAAGCACCAGGAATTTGTTCCAGATATCCTGTTTGATGATCAAAAACTAGTGGTGCGCTCGTCCATGATGGTGAAAAGTGTATATCAAAAGTATTCTCAAAGAAATGAACAAAATATCCTGACCATCCAACAGCGATAGTTGAAGCGCCGACTGCGTACTCTAATATTAAATCCCAGCCAATAATCCAAGCAGCAAGCTCACCTAGCGTTGCGTAAACAAATGTGTAGGCAGATCCGGATATCGGAATCATTGATGACAACTCCGAATAGCATAATGCCGCAAAACTAGCAGCAATTCCAGAAATTATGAATGAAATTACCACAGCTGGCCCCGCTCTTGTAGCCGCTGCTTGTCCTGAAAAAATTTGAATTCGAATGCTGCTTAATTAATGATCCAAGTCACATGAATATAAATATATATATAAATATATAATGGAAATTTATTATTTATTTTACCTGTGATAACTAATATTCCGGTGCCAATAATACCACCCAAACCAATCATTATCAAATCAAATGCACCCAAAGTTCTTTTAAAACCCGAAGTTTCTTTTTCGACTTCAAAATCCTCTAAGGTTTTGATTGTAAATAACTTTCGTAAATGATATCTCCATGTTGATTCTTGAGATTGCTTTGGTGCACCTGAGGTGAAAAATTCGTATCCAGACATTAAAAAAAAAGTTTTCTTTTTAAAGTACTTTATAAAATTTCATTAAGTTTATGTTTTAATTGAATATTAAAAGTTTTAAAAGCAACAAGAACTTTTATAAAAATCCTCTTAAAAATGAACCTATTTATATGGTAATTGTGGCTATGGAAAATTCCATAATGGAAACTTTCCATTAAAGTAAATATGTTCGCTATAAAAAGTAATCTCATATAATTGGTTAAAAAGTTTCTTTTCACTTTTACTGCGAAAATAATTTTCTTTTATTGTAGATCAAACTTGTTTTATCTAATTATGGAATTTATATTAAAAATGATTGAAAATGTGTTGTCGCAAAATTTGTTTTTACATTTATCGACATTTAATATTATTAAGAATCTTATTTATTATATGTTTAGTCTTACTTTTTTTTCACATTAAATCTTTGAATTATTTTGCCACGATGATTGGGCCAAGTACCAGTGATATGGCGATATATTACGCGGCGTTGGATCCGCCACGAGAGGAGGCACACATCTCATGTTGTGACGAGCATTCGAAAATTCATTTCCAGTTTGCTGATTAGTAGTAGGAACTTCTCTCTCGAATTTAGATCGTCCTCGGCTATATTTAATATTTGCTTGCTCAATGTCATCATCTTGTGCTGGTGTTATATTTCTTTCAGGTTCATGGCGAGTTCTCTTGTTTACAAGCATTTCATCCAAAGAACCTGTTGCTACAGTGGCTACTCCTTTCTCGCCCTTGCGCTTTACTGTGTGGGCTTCTTCTGACGGTTGTTCCGGTTGTTCTTGTTGCATGAGCTCTACTCTCGCCAGTCTCTCTCGTTCCTCTCGTTCTTTAATTTCAGCTTTCACCGCGAGACGAGCGGAACGAGCTCTAATGGGTTGTGAAAATTTTCTAGTTAATCGAGGAGTACTGGTTACTTTGGCGGTATTAGTGATAACAGTATTTTTTTGAGTATCGGCTAGAAACGTTTGAACAGAAGTAATAATAATACCAAATGATTTCTTAAGTATTTGGCACGATTCGTTGGGCAGTAGCAATGACAGTATTAGGTGGTGAGTTTTAACACAAAATTACCGGTAATCGTTTGATCAGCCACATTCTTTTCTCTAGAATCGATTCTAGAAGTGCTGGCGAAAGATTGGTCGAAATTAGTGATAACAGTATTTTCTCGAATATCATCTAGAAAAGCGGCACCAATGATTTCTCAAGTATTAATTACAATTCATTGGGTAGTAGTAATGATAGTAATGAAGGTGTGCTTTAACAGAAAATTACCGGTAATCGTTTGATCAGCAATGTACTTTCCTCTAGTATAAATCTTAAATGTAGAAGTGTTTGCGGCAGCCTGATGATTAGTGATAACAGGATTTTCTCGTACTGCGGCTAGGAAAGTTAAAACAGCAAGCACCAATGATTGCTTAAAGTATAAGTCATGATTCGTTGGGCAGTATCAAATGCGCATTAATGTAAATAAAGGTTTACCAGTAATTGTTTGATCAGCAACAACATCCCTCTCTTTATCTCCAGCGTAAATTTCTTGAGTAGTAGAAGAAACCGCAATGGATTGTTCATCAAAAGTCGTTGCCTGATTCACGTTACGTGCAGGTTTTCTGCTTCGAAGCGATTTTAAAACTAAAAAAAAACAGTTAGTTTAATCTTTGATTATAGGAAACGTCTAGTGATTTGTTAATATGTTCGAAGTTACCTTTTCCAGTTTGTTCGATAGCTGGCTTAATGCTTCTGATTTTTTTAGTAGCGACCTTAATTGGAGTTGGTTGATCGGTAAAAATGGAAATCGCTGATCGTACGACAGCTTTTTTACCTTTGTTTTTACCGGAACTTGTAATTGGATGATCTACTGGTGGTTCGATAGCATCTGGCGGTTTATATTCAGTATCAGTGTTTCTTGCAGTCTTTCTGCCTTTGCTTCTTCCAGTCGTAGCTGTAGGAGTGATAGTCTTTATAACCGGTTGATATGTTGATTGGTTGATAGCGGAAGCTGGCAAACTTTGTTCAGCATCAATGATTCTTTCAGTAGTAATGATATTGTAGATTGATTGATCGGGTTGTGGTTCAATCGTACCCGACGTTTCACTTACATCATCATTGTTTCTTATGAACTTTATCTCTCTTGCTTCTTCAGTAATACTTGAAATTGATTGACCAGTTATTTTGTTGATAGCATCCGGTGTTTTTTGTTTAACTTCGGTGCCTTTTGTGGTTTTTCTTCTTTTAAATTTACCCTTTCCAGTATCAACGGTAGTTGATAGTTCCATATCGACGAACGTTATATGAACAGCATCGTTTTTCGTGATACTTCTGTTTCTACTTCTCTCAATAGCAACGGGAGTAGGTACTTCGGGAGCAGAGACTTCAGGAGTAGGCTTTACGGCGGTAAGCTGCTCCTGAGCGGTTTTTCTTGTAATGCTTCTGGTTCTTCTTTTCCGAGGAACAGTGGGTGGAGTTTGAGTAAAAGAAACGTTTTCGGTAGTACTTTCGTTGGTAATAGTAGTAGTGTTCTTCTTTGGTGCCATTTTAAAATCTGATCCTTATTTTATATATTTTAGAGTTTCGTTAACCCGGAATATGAAAAGGGACAATAAAAGTTTTCAAGTCCCTCTTATAATAAATAAATATAAAAAAAGGTTTCTCTGGATGATTATGAATCACAAGTTTCTAAACTTAGATTAGAAACCTTTCATGTTTTTTAAAAAAGATCCGAACATGAATTTTCTGCGTTGGTTAATATGAGAGAAAAAAACGTGTCAACTCTCTTTTTTTAGTCGGGATTGCAGTTTGATAACTTGATTGAATTCCTGCGGTACCTTTAAGGATCTCAAACGTATAAATAATGCGTGATATGTGTCAAGAGTGAATGTTAAGAATTTATCAAACAATAACAAGAAATTCATTACCGTTGATAAAGTTTGATTTATGCATGTATGCATTATGATAATATATAGGGAATAAACGTTAAAGAAATCTTGCTAGAAATAGAATTCAAGGTTTACCAAATGAATATTAATATTATTTTACTGAATATATATGTTATTTAATTTCGATAGATTAAATTTCAACTTTTATTTCATAACGCGCATTAAATTTTTTATTATTAAAATCCTATTTAAAATCGCGTGACTCAGTCTGTTTAACCAAGTGATTTGAGAACACGTTAACAAATACGCGTACTTTGTTCTTTGATAACACCAATATCAAAAAGGATTAACAGGCTAGATTGTTCTATTATGCATTTCAAAAATTACACATGATATTTGTGCGCAGAAAACATTTTTTGTATTAAAAAATCCTAAATGAAAAGCTGATTTAGAATTCTTCGGATAAGCATTTTTGTTTTCGTTTGGTTTAACGATGACCTTCTCGACTAAATGAAAAGGTTAACGAAATTGCCATAAGGCATCATGGTCACGTGAAAATTTCAACAAATGCTACTAAATTCGAGAAAATGATTTCAAACTTCTGACGTTTTTTTTATTTTTTTTTTTTTTTTTATTATTATTGTTAATCCTCGTAAACGATCGAGAATTTTTTTTTTTTAAAAAAAATGAAACTTGTTTTCATATTATTATTTAAAGAAGATAAGAAATTTCTCAAATTTAGTATTTCAGAAATGATTTTTTATTGGAAATTTTTAAAATTCGATTGGAAATTTGGAATAACATAATGCATTTGATGAAGGCTATGTTTTAAAAAATTCCATGAGAAAGGGAAAGTGCTTTAATGGTTAAATATGTTAATTTAATTACATTCGTGAGTTGGTCATGTTGCATCAACCACAATATTTCAATAATTTACGTTGTTATCCGTTAAAAAATCTTTTAATCTCATTCTTTTAAATTAATGCATTTGAGGCTTTATGAAAATCAAGACTCGCGTAAAAAATAAAATTTAACATCATTAGCCCATAATACTATCAATCAATCCCGCACGCATTTTCTTTTTTGTTTTCAATGTCAACGAAAATCAAGAAATTCTGTTTTTCTTAACAGACTGACAATAGGGTTTTATTAGCAACAAAATCTCTCTCTCTCTCTCTCAATTTATTATTAGATATGATTATGATTATTATTGGATTTCCACGCATATATTTCCGTTGAACTGATGATAACAGCGCGGCTCTAACTACCTTAAAATCTTAAAATTTGGATCCATAAATATTTTCAGTTTCATTCTTTATTATTAACCTAATCCAAATTTAAAGGTGGTAATATTGATTTGTCATTGTTCGAAGTATCTCACTTAATTAAATGCATGCCCTTATCATTTGAGTCTTGAGAATTTTTGAATATAACTAAAGATTTATTGCAGAAAAATGTTTCATAAAAATGGGATGATTTCTAGGACAATTCGATTCTTGGAAATTTATTAGTTTTTTGATGTCATTAGATAGCTTGACATAAAAAAAATAATGCAATTTTAGAGAGAAAGAGAATATTTGTGAAAGGATGCAACATATAAACGATTAATTGGATATTTTATCAACGAATCGGATCACCAAGTTCATTTATCGTATCGAGATTTATTATTAAATTTTATTTTATTTTCATTTTTAAAAGGTAAATAAATAATCATAACATTCGAACGTCTTGAAAATATTTCTCTTTTGTCCATTTATAAGCTACCATAACCCTTCACCATAGCCAACATTATACACAGTAAGGCAAATAAATGTAAATGTGTATAATGATTCACATATGTTTCAAATCCAATCCAAATTCGTTTTTGCACTGTCTCTACAAAACTTAAATCGACTCGTTTCCCCCTAACATATGTGGCATCAATTATTTCAAACGGCGATGAAGCACCCAAAAATTCCTTGGCAATTTTTAACCCTGATGTAAAACCATCCTCATGAAATCCATATTTCGTCCAGGCTCCTGCAAATGTTGTAGCAAGGTTTGGAAGATTTTGAATCGTGTGTAATTCATCTTGCGCTGCAATTGTTGCCGGGGTGTATTGTGGATGCTCATATAACCATGAACCTACGACCTTTGATGAATCAGGTTCGAATATAGGATTCAAGCTTACAAGGACAGGTCCGTAAACTGATTTATCGATTGATTGTAAAATGTTCATGTCATAAGTTCTAAAAAAAAAAAATTTCTTCATTTAATAAATGTGTTACAAGTACTTATATTGATAATAATTAAAATTCTTACAAGGAAATTTGTTCAACATTTACGGAATTTTCAGTAGATTTAGTAATGTAATTCCAAGACGAGAATGCAAGACGATTCTTAGGCATCAACTATCAAAAAAATTAAAATTTGAATCATTTTGGTAATATATTAATTTCAAAACCATAAAATTTTATCGGTAAACCTTACCGAAAGATCAGAATGTAACACGGCGCGATTTTGGCTAAAACGAACGCTTCCCAAGATTCGCCTTTCATCCTCGGTAGCTTGATTGCCCAATATCTGTAAGGCTTGATCGGCATGAGTAGCGAAAATCACGTGATCAAACTCATCACGCTTACCGTTGCTATCTGTGATGGTAATGATTGGTGGTGAGAAGAGATCTGAAGGGATATATGGTTTACGTGTAATTGATGTAACTTTTGTCGATAAGTGTACATTGTGAATGTGTGGAGAAATTGTTTCCACATATTTGTGACTGAATAAATATTTATGATAATTGCTATTTTAGATTTCACTCATCGAAGAATAAGTAAAAATGTTTTACACAATTCAAATTGTCTAACCTTCCATTCTTTACGGTAAGCCATTGAATTCGATTCAAAACTTGAAGCAAACAATGATTATGCATAAACTGTATAAGTGTCAATGCAGGGAAATCGAGTGCGCATTTGTCTGGTGGAGTAGACCAAATTGCCGCAGTCATCGGCTAAAAACGATCATGTAAATCACGTGTTTAATGCGCAAAAATAATTTGCGCAAAAAAAAAAAAATTTTTTTTTTAACGTACCAACAAATAATTATCTTTGAATGCCGAAGAATAACCATGTACTTTTAAATAATCCCCCAAATTCATCTTTTTTTCGGGATTATCATCTTCCAATTCCAATAAATCAGTAGCATGAAAATTAAATCTCATAATATCATAAACGGTTTTCCACATTTCCAAGTTCAATAAATTCTTTGGTTGTACAAAGACTGTGAATAAATTTTTCCCTGCCCATTCGAATTCTCCCTTATTCCTTGATACGCTAAAACTCATTTCAGAAGGTATATATTCGACGTTCTTATATTGAAAGAATCTAAGAAGGTTTGGGTATGTAACTGGATTAAATACTATAAATCCAGTGTCAACTGGCGTTGTTAATGGAGAATCAGAGGATTTTGTAGAAGGAACTGTAAAATCAACTGTATGAGTATGACCTCCCAAATAATCATTTTGTTCGTAAAGAGTAACATGATGTGGAGAGTGCTCTGATAATAACCATGCTGCTCCCATTCCAGCACTTCCACTTCCAATTATTGCGACTCTTTTACGACTTTGTTCTTGAAACATTATTTTAAAGATTGGTAGCAGGAATAGAAAGAAAAAAATTTTTTATCTCAAATCCTTTATTAGTAATTAATTCAATCAATTTATATATCAATCAAAATATTTTTGTGTTTCAACTTTTATTTATATTAGCGTTTAAAAATATGCATTTAATTTATTTACCGTTTCCAAAAAATCGATCTCTCAACGTATTTATTCATCACATGATGATATGACGCACGTGATTGATTCGAAACACGTGACAACTGAATTTCTAATGAGCACTAAGACTAAATGCTGATTCCGCACGCTTTTCCTTCCTGGTAACTAATTTTACATATGTAACCTCCCATACATCTCTTTTTAAATATTGATAAGTTCCTTCACTATAAAGAGAATTAGATACTATGTTACCATCAAAATGACGGAATGTGTCTGGAGAAGGAATTTTGCAATTGACGTTGACACCGATTTTTTTCTTATGTAGTCGTCTCATCTCATTGATAACCGTTTGTTCGTGTGTATATACTCCTAAAATTTTTATCCCTGGATTACTATTTCCGTGAAAATGTCCATCGGATAGCACATAAACTCGTCGTGGAATAAAGGTAGATTTGATGTAAGAGGCTATTTTTGTTGGGATATTCACAATAAGATACCATTGCTTGCAGACGGATCGAACGTTCATAAGTTCACTCATTGATAAAAAGTTGAAAATATTATCGATAAGTTCCGGTGTTGTTAGAACTAAGGTAGCACATGATGAGACTTGTTGAGGTTCCAGTGACTCTTCGAGTTCGTTTTCGCTATCTGTAGAGTTATGTGGTGTGTTCGCATTAGACATTTTACTTTTACGCGTTTTTTTTTCCTTTACTAAAAAAAAAGTTGCACACGCGAATTAATATTATTAATTGATAAAAGAAGAAAGAATATTGGTAATTATATTAAGGGATAAGTAAAATAAAAACTCACAAGCTTTTAAAGAGAAATTTTTTTTTTTAAGGAAAGAGATTAGTCGTGAAAGACATTTATAGAAACGTCACAATTAAATTAGGAAAACATGTGATTGACTTGTAGGCGTCATGCAGGATGAAAATCTATCGTTATCGTTTTCTCTACCTAAAAACAAAACAATAAAAATAAAACAAAATAAAAATAAAAAATAAAACCCCGTAAGAGAATTTTTTTTTTTTAAAAAAAAAAAAAAATGTATTTCCCAGAAGGAAGTACTAGTTCTAGTTCTTCACCCTCAAAAGTTTTTTATTCACAACCATTTACCAGTCAGTTAAAAGTGAATGAAAGTTCACCACGGGGTTCGAAACATAATTCTCCTGTGACCAAAACTTTCACCACTTCTACTGAAGTTATATTGCTTTCATCAGATTCTGAAGAAGAAACTGAATTGGTTAGCACTAGTAACAAAGTTGTGTCTAATAAATCTAAAGGCAAAGAACGAGAACATGGTATTGAAAGAGGTTTTGATACAATTTCTTCTGCTGATACCATTAAATTAAACGAAATTCGCGCTGGTAAACAACTTGGAGTTCATAATAAAGGTAAAGGTAAAGAACTAGAACGCAATAAAGTAGATAATCCAGGTGATGACATGGAAATTGATTCTGACCTTCCGCACACTACAACAAAATCTCCGCAGAAATCAGAGTCTAGTTATCTTAAGAAAATGGTTGAATTTTTTGAATCATATAATTACACGTTTGATATTTTTGATATTTTAATTGATTTATCAAACAAATATCAAGCAATTTATCAAGAAGATGGCGTTCATCTACGAAATTTCTATAATAATCCCTGCGCTTTGCTTGAATTATTAAATGACCTTTTGTCTACTAAGCTTAAATCGGGTAAAAAATTTCAAATTAACATTGTTATTCAAAAATAAGTTTTTAGTTGTTTTTTTTTTTGCTCTGCTTGCTTGTTTTACCTTATACATCATTTCAAATAATATTAAAAAATTTTTTTCTTTTCCTTTTTATTAGTGAACGATCATGATGTAGATTTTATTAATATAGAAAATATAGCAAAGGATATTAATTTAGAAAAATTAGCAAAGGAATATTATGAAAAGCTAAGAAACGCAGGTAAGGAATTACTATGCCATTAAATTTATTTTTGTTTGACATTTTTTTTTTTAGAACAATATTAAAATTAAATACACGTGTAGAAATAAGTCGACAGGGATTATATAGGGCTTCTTTTAAAAATAATATATTTCATTCGAACGCTCAATCCCTTAATCAAGAGAAGCTGTTCCATTTAAGCTCTCTGCCCCAACTACAAAAACGAAAGAGGAAAAGAAACAAAAGAAGTCAGCAAACTAACGAAAATATCAAGTCCTTAGATGAACCCGAAAAAATAGATCTTGTCAATGTCATGGGTTCTGGATTACAACCACCTCAGAAGAAAGTAAAGTCTGATGATGTTCAGACAACGGATCACCAATCCATGATGAATTCAATTTCTAAATTGACAAATAACCTTTCCCTTTCATCATTACCAAGTGGGGGTTTCAACTCTTCCACATCAGCTCAAGGGAGTAGACAATCATCTGATAATTCAAATAAACCAACAGTGGCTTCTACATCAAATGCAAGAAAACACACCATAGAAGTTGTTACCGATTCAAGTCCAAAACCAGAAACTATTTCATACGAAATCGACCCAAGTCCTGTAAACAACGTCGAGATGCATAGACTTAGATCTCGTGAAATAAAGCAACCACTCGAGATGCAAAATCATTATAAGTTTATGATGGCCGATGCCATACAAAAATTGGCTATCGCAACTCTTGCTATGAAACATAATCCTGAATATGGGCCTGGTGAATTAGATAGCGTTGTTAATAAATTTAAGATAAAGAAAATGGGAAAAGATCCTAGTTTAACGACACAATCCTACAGTAATACGTTACTTGATATCTTTAATAATGGTGGTATAGACACGGTTATGGAGCGACTAGAAGAAAATCTGTCTTCACACTTAAAATGTCAACCAAAGGATGAGAGAAGAAAAAGGAAGAGATTTTCTGTTGCAAACGATGAACAGCCGATGAATGAAAAGTAGGAGAAGTAATTTATGTGACTGTTCATTTCACGTGCTAATAAATAAATATCATATCTTTTTATTTATTTTAAATCAATTAAAATTAGTAAATATTGGAAGAATCTATCCTTGACTTTCAATTGCCAAATAATCTAATTATTTTAAGTCATTTCTCAACAACATTACTTCTCTAAAAGTTTTAATGAATAACCATAATCTGTGTTGTCTGTCTTCTTCTATAACAGGATTATGATTAATAAGTTGCTTAGGTTTAGAAATATTTGGTGATGATGACGGTGGTGGTAAATTTGGAGTAGATATTGATTTGACCCTTTGTAAATTATCATAACTATCTGTTTCAAGCGAAAGGAAAATTAGAAATAAAGTTAATTGATAATTAATAATAAGATAAGACAAGTTGGTTGGTTATACATACTTGTTCTTTCATAAACAAGTTCCCAACCATCAAATATATTTTTCTCTGTACTATATTCATTCTTGATATTTGAACTCTTAATGTTAATGCTTTTAACACTTTCAACATCACTATCACATTCAACCCATTGTTCTTCTTCCTCGCCCTCTTCGTTCCTTTCATACCTCTTTAATAAATCAACAATACCCTCCCATAACCATTTTTCAGCAAAATAAGGATTACCTCTAGGTCCTTCCACAAATCCTGTAAACATTTGCCATAATCCCGCATCACTTTTATAACCCAATACCATTAATAACATCATCCAAGTATACTTGAGTTGATCTTGATTAGTAAATAGATGGCTTGAATATACGAATCTATCTATTGGATGTTTTAACGGTTCTTTATTCTCATATGGTAGGTACCTTGGCGGAAATGGCAATAAGTGAAGTTTTGATTCTATGATAGGAGTTATTTTTGATATTGTTGTTGATAAAGGATACGTGATTGGAGATAACATATAAAGATGGGTATAACAAAATAATGCTATGATACTTCCTTCATTATTTATCGCCAATAAATCTCTTAACGCTACTGATACCCTTTCATGTGGAATTATCTGATTAATTTTTGGGGGGGGGGGGAATATTAACGATTAACAAAACACGAAAGAAAATGAAAAATTATTAACCCATCTATTTTTAAGATACATACTGTTGCGTTTAGTCTAATATCAAAACAAACGTTATTTTGTACTATAGTAGCAATGAAGTCTTCTTCAACACCTGTAGGAGGCCACATGTTTTGTAATAATTGATCAAATTCCTTTTTGGCTCTTTCACCTGAACTTACCGGATCTTTAAATAATTTTGTCCAATACCATCTCCTTAACTTTGATATTCTATTTTCAAAATTACTTAACCTAATTTTATGGTCTCTGTGTAAAGGTTCCTTCTCTTCAAATGATTTATTATTAAAGATCACGTTTAATAACCATTCCAATTCGTTACAATCCCATGCTTTTTCAAAATAACCTATTAATAAAGCTCTATAAATATTTTGATTTATTAAAAAATTCGTAAAAAATGAATAATTATGAAGGTTGATAATTATATGATTTGAATATGGTAGTATCATTGTCGAAAGCGAATTAGATGGACGAATGATGATTGGTGATTTATTCTTGTCAGGTAAATTGATTGTAATACGAGTTGATCCAAATGAATTGTCTAGGTTGTCTACTAAGTGACCTAAATATCTCGTGATGATTTTTTGGGCATATCTATTATTATTATTAAACGCAATAAAGAATAGGTTAACAAATAACAAGATCAAATTTGAAATCCATCCAAGAAATTAATGAAAGCATACAAATCAATTGAATTTGGTTCCAATTTTACGACAGTGCCATCGACGGGAATTGGCCTATGATAAACCCCTAACGTTTTATTATAATGTAATTTGTATGCCTCTTTTAATATTCTTGGAAATGTTAAAAATATTTCAAAAGGGTATGTCATGATAGCATATAATAAACTGTTCATTGTTAAGGCATATGAAGGTCCTGATGCGGTAGCGACCATTTTCTTTTTAAATTGTGATTTGATCGGAATGTTATCTTCGGATGGTAAATGTTTATGATCCGAAATTGATGGATCCGCGTACATTACGATCCTCACATCCAAATAACCTGATTTAGGGTCTTTACAGAACGCCTTGTAAATTCCTAAACGGTCATTAAATGGTGACACATGAAATGATCGTTTCATGGTAAAACTCATATCATACCTATTTACAAGATGTTGAGAAATTATGAATAAATAATAATAATAATAATAATAATTAAATAATTCAATAAAAATAAATAGATAGGTAGATAAATAGATCACTTGCCCATTTCGAGATTCATGTTCGGAATCAGCATCTCTTTTTAACACATATAAATGTTTTTCTCCGAAAGTATTATTAACTTCTAATACAATAACTTGAAGTCGATTACTTTTATTGTAACAATAATGAAAACTAACCGGATTGAATGCATATCCTAAAAATCTTGGCATGGTAACTAATTCAAATCTACATAAATCATCCACTGGAATATTCTTTTTTTTTTATTAAAAAAAAAAATAATAAAGTTTCAACAAAGAAGCACATTAAATTTGAGCAGCAGAGATAAATTATATGTAACTTACATGCTGATTTATATGCCATAATAATTTTTCTTTGATTGATTTAATCTGTTTTTTTGGTCTTTGTAGATATGGATTTTTCAAATTATGATCACCAGCATTGATTTCTCCGAGATAATCATCATCATTTATATTCAATAAAATTGAACTATTATTATACCCGATTTCATACCTATCGACAAACCAAGATAAATAATAATAGATGATCAAAAGAAAAAATAAAATAAAATAAAATAAAACTTACAATCTCTTTCCGACTTTTTTATATTTCTCTTGTTCTAATAAATCCAAATCAACTCCAACAAATATTATAGGGTATTTAAAAGAATGATTTATGGGCCAAAACCTTGCATGATAAGTTTTACAAAAATAAATTTTTTGTTGTTTTTTAATTTGATCTAAAGATATTAAGGATGATTCTAAGTTTTTACATATAAAATAATGTAAAATTTTAATAAAACATAATAAGAATACCACCCAAGGTATATTTAGTATATAAAATAATACACTTGTAGCAATGATATATGACAATAATGGCATTTTATTTTGTATAAAAAAAAATATAATTTTGATCTAATGTGTCAAGGAGAAAAGGAATTAATTTGAATTGTTATGTTATCGTTATATTTATATTGAAAATTTCATGGTAATACAAAATGCATCTAAAAATTAATGCACAAGTAAAAAACGTAAAAATTAAACCAAGATTATAACAGACAATATACTTGTCTTTCAGTATGCAGCGCGGGTTTGTTAGTTTTTGAACTTGAAGGAGATTTCCTGCTTAATGTATGTTTACAAAAAGAGGAATTTGTACAAAATGAACATAAACGATGTTGTATTGGAATAAAACTTCTAAAACTTTATTGAACGAGAACGGTTTGTTCATTGATTAAATAAAACCATCAGTCGATCCATGCTATTATTACCTAAACTTTCTGTTTTCTTTTATTGGATGCTAAATTTTTGTGAAAATTATTTGAAACATTAATATAAAGATGAATTTCATTGAAATAAATTTTACATCGTGATCATTTCCGATTGTTTTAGATTCGAGTAAAATATTTGTCCATCGGTGATTTAGGTCTACTATTTGGATAACTTGAATATACATAATTTGACATTACATATTCAATCTCAAAAAGAAAAAATTTCACGAACCATAATTGTTGTTGATCAACATGACATTGTGAAAAAAATCTTGTGTATGAAATACAGGTTAAATCAACCTATTTTGTCGGTTAGAGTTTAAACTGCGGTTCAAATGGTTTGCTTTTAACCAATCCCAACCCTAGTTTTAACCCATTTAAAGTATGGTAATATAACGATTACCATCCAATTAATTTTGTGAATCCTTAATAATACACTCCAATTCGCATATTCGAAAAATAAAAAAATTTTGTTTCATTTTGCTGATCGTTTCATCCCAAAAGAATGGATATGTGGATATGGAAAAAGTTCACTTTTGCTATGTCCGGAGATCTTTAATTCCTAAAATTCGGCGCATAATATGATTTATTTTATTAATTTTCCATTTATTTTATGAATTAAAAAAACCGGATAAAATGCCGGAAATACCAGATAAATTTAATTTGCTCTGAAAGGATTCGGTAAATATTTTTTTAATTACAAAATCTAAAATTCCAGATTAATTGATTTATTCGATTACTTTATATGTACTATAAAATAGGTTGGATATAAATGGTGAAACATTTCATTATGCAGCACGATTGGGGCAAATTTGCCAATTAAGTTCACAAACTTTTTTTTTTTATATATATCTCTTACTTTATAATCCGAACAAAAAAAAAAAAAAAATTTTTTTCTTTTTAATCATTTGCGATATTTGTGATACATATACATATATATATGTGCAGGATTTTTTCTTCTCAACCTTTTCAATTAAATTTTTATCAATCACTTTATTTTTCGCGACACTTAATTTAAAAATGAGTTACGAAAAAAATCCTATTCTTCATTCATCAAGTAAAGTTATCGCGACCGTTGATTCTTACTTTCAATACGCTAAAGAAATTATTATTTCAAATTCATGGGAACCTCTGCTACATTTTGGTATATTTTTTCTTTCCATAAAAATTCAATTATTGTTCTGAATTCTTTTCAATTTCGAAATGAATGCGTATGATTTATTATTAAGAGAAATATATATATATATATGTATATATATACTGATTCTTCAACGGACCAGTGATGATATATTAACGAATTAATTGCTGTCTCCTTATAAATAATCAATTAGCTCAAAGTACTCTTCTTTCGCTAATGTCACGAATTGATGTTGGACATCTTCGCGTACTTTGTAAAGATCATATTTACGAATTTGGTCCAAAAGATTCACAATTGAAAAGCGAAATCAAAATCGTCAACGATTCTTTTTGGATTCGATTATTATTATTGAGCGATTTGGTATGTCATTTATTTGAAACGTTTGAAGTGTTTGAAATGTTTTACAAAGTGAAATTACAAATGTAATATATGTCGTACAATTTGAATTGCTTATATTTGTAACACTAATCCTTTAAAATTATACGTGTCATGTGATTTCAAATCTACAATTAACAAATGGGAACCCGCGTTATAAAAAATTTATTTTTGGTTTTTCGATTTAATAGGGTTTTGCTGAGGCATATATGTTAGGAGATGTGACTTGCGACGATTTGGTTACTCTTATTAAGGTATTAATTAGCAATTCATTATCATCACTGGGGGATATCGATCTATCACTTATTTTTCATCAAAATCCTATTTGTCACCCTTATATGTCACGCCCATATTAATTAATATTTTTTATAGATTTTCGTAGCAAATAGGTCACATCTTGACGACCTTTCAACAATTCCTTCATATATCTTTAACACAATAAATTATGTAATGAATTCTCGTTTCGCCAATACAATTTCCAATGCCATTAACAACATTTCGGCTCATTATGATATAAGCAATGAAATGTTTGCCGCATTCTTAAGCAACGATATGACTTATTCTAGCGCCGTATTTGCAAATGAAGAAGAGCCTTTAGAGGAAGCTCAATATAGAAAATTGAGAATGATGATTAAGAAGGCGAAAATCACCAAAGATGATAACGTTTTGGAAATCGGTACTGGGTGGGGTTCCCTTGCTATTGAGGTAATTAATTGTATTAGAATGGTTTACTTGTAATCTCTGTTTTTCTTTTTCCTTTCTTTTTTTGTATTAAAAAAAAATATCCTACTACTCTCTTAGGCTGTAAGGTTAACGGGGTGTCGCGTCACAAGTTTAACGCTTTCAATTGAGCAGAAGAATCTTGCCGAAGAACGTATCGCGAATGCAGGATTCTCGGATCGTATCACCGTGTTATTATGCGATTATCGCAATTTACCCGCTTCTCATCAATTTGATAAAATTATAAGTATTGAAATGATTGAAGCGGTTGGTTCACAATATCTTTCAACATATTTTGAATGCTGTGACAGATTTTTGAAAGGAAAGGGGGGTATTGGTGTATTCCAAGTTATTACCATGCCCGAAACAAGACACGATAGATATTGCAAAGAAGTTGATTTTATAAGGAAATACATTTTCCCAGGTAAAAAAAAAGTTTTGATGTCATATTTAAGAAGTCATAAAAAAAAAAGATTTCCATTAATAAACCAAATCATTAATTATTTAGGAGGTCATTGTCCAAGTGTGACAACCTTAGTGCAAGCCATAACAAAAGGTTCCAAAGGCAGACTTATAGTTGATCATATGGAAAATATTGGACCTCATTATGCACGTACATTACGTTTATGGCGCGAAAAGTTCCTTTCAGTATTTGATGAACTCATTCATCCTGCTTTATTGAACAGTTGGCCTGATATGAATCCAAGTGAAATTGAAATATTTAAAAAGAAATGGGAATTTTATTTCGCTTATTGTGAAGGAGGTTTTGTTAGCAGAATTTTAGGTAACGTTCAAGTTGTCGTAACTAGAGAAGGCAATGAAGCTTTCTTGGATGGAATACCTTTATAAATCAATAAGGAAATTAACTATTGTAAAGATTTGGTTGCACATAATTTTTTTTTTTTTTTTGAGAAGGAAAACGCGATTTTATTTTCTATTCTACTTGTATTATTAAAATTACTTTCTTTTTGAATTGTATTCATGTTAAATAAAAGTATTTCATAAATTATAATCGTCCGTAATGTGAAGTCTTTATTGTGATCGTTCAAAAAGGTTACTTTTTTCTCTTTTTTTTTTTTTTTTAAAAAAAAAAGGAAAATAATTTATTTTATTTTATTTTTTAAATTATATATACGAAAACCAAATATATATATATATAGATATTGAGTTAATGCTCAAAGAATATATATCTTTACTGTTTATCAAACAACGGACTATGTAATTCGTCATTGACATTAAAACGCTCGAAATTAAATCATTAAAAGATGGAAATCGATATCGGTTGGCGGTTCCCATTGTGTAGAATATTTGAATTTCATTTTTCTTTATTAAATTTAATTTTTCGGGATACATTTAGGAATATTAAAAAATTTTTATTTACTAACATACAATAACTTTGCTTTTTTCTCATAAAACGCATCTATAACAAGCATGTTATGATTTGTAATAGTATTGTACAAAATCTTGAGTGAGAAACGAACAGACAACATCAGCAAGTTTACCAACAAATTTCAATGGTACAATGTCACAACTGTCACTAAAAACTTGTAGATTTGCTTCTTTTTGTGATATACTGTATGTGATGATTTTTCGATTATAGAATTATGTGATTATATGGACGAATGTATATATATAATACATAAGGATCAAATTTGTGGTAATGATTTGTTTATCACAGAATTTTTTGTAAATGCTCGTTTCAAACATGCTTCTTATTATGAATAAAAAGAACAAAATACGTAAACCTTGACTAAAAGATCTTGCAATTGAGGACACGACAAATAAATTAGATGATATGGTATCTTTGTGTGAACAATAGACCAATGGGGGGGGGGGGGTATCAATGCTTATTTAAAAACATTATCTAATCATGTCAGTTAGTCCATGGTACTGGTTTATCTTTCATACTCTATATTAAAAAAAAACTTTAAAAAACATAATGGTATTCTTATTCTTACCATTCGATATTTTTTTTTTTTTTTTACAATTTAATTGTATTTTTGATTTTATTGTCGCATTTTTTTTCAATTATCTTTATAATCTCAATGGAATAAATCAAATAATATGGATCGAGCGAGGTAAATTTTAGATATATAATGAATATATACATTAAATTTTCTCTCCCTCTCCCTCTCCCTTTCTTTTTTTCGAAACTATATAAATTATATATATTATAGGACTATATACACGTAAATTAAAAAAGAATAATTTTTTGTAAGAAAGGTAGCTTCATAATATCGATAATGGGATGATTTGGTAATATAGAAAAAAGAGAAAAAATTTACAATTTATTTACTTTATACAAACAATGGACTCTGAAAAATTATGTAGAGTCGGTGCGAAACCATTGTAAATAATTCGCCATTGTTATAATTTTA